TTGGTGAAAGTCAGCATAACTCCAGTGAACCACTGCTAAAGCAATTTATACCATCTGAAGCCCTGGAGCAAAAAAAGCCAAGTCAATGAGAGATAAGCTAAAATTGGAGTGTTTTGCTGGATACAAAACAGATTTACTTGCTTGCTTTAACAGGTGCCTAAGTGCGCTAGTAAGTTGGCGTCCAAATGCAGCACCGTTTTTATTTGTGTCCACTTCTACCAGCTTGGACATCTGATACGGAGGTCATCTTATAGCTAACATTTTTGCCTTAAACCCTGCTTATAGTCACACTATAGAACAGCTGCCTGAGGAGTTATGTTCCACATGTAACTTTAAAAATAAAATGCAAGTGACTGGAAAAGGTGGATTTATAACTAGAAACAGAATACACGGGTACCTTGAAATAGAAATAAATGAAACACTTTCTGCATGCTGAGAAAAGAACAAGTAATCTCATATTTCTATTGCAGTCTCTGTTAGTAGTGATGTATCGATACTGCAGTTTGTGTCCTAGAAACGCCTTAGCTGGAACGGGTTAGACCAGAAGCACTGTAAGGAAAAAAGTCTTACATGTACATTAAATGAGTTTCTGCCTGCACACCACCTGATTTCTTCATAGGGAATCTATACTTGTAGTAACTGCGTTTCCAAACACTTCTAACAATGTTCAATGTCCACACAGATATACACTGCTCAGTACATGGTTAGCCACAGCACAGCTTATGGGAGTGACTACTGACTCTTCCAGCTCATCCATCCAACTTGCAAGTGAGTCAAAATCCTATCTCCCAGAAGTAGTTTTATATATTGTACCATGACCATTGGATGGGAAAATGCAAAAGTAAGCTTGGAGGCCACGTCCAGAATACAAGGTTCTCCTCAATTCCAAGTCCCTGGTCACCAGATAAAGAGTTCTGCTTTCTCACGTGATTTCTGTTCCAGTCCATACTTTATCTCTTCTGGAAAGATGCCTGACCAGGGAGAGGTGGTGGGGACCTCTCCTCGCCCTGACCCTCACTTGCAGGGAAGCTTATGTCTGGCCTCTTGGTTAGTGAAATCTGGTGAGAGGTGGGGTTTGAGGAAAATGGCATTTATGTCCCACTTCCTGAAATTTAATCTTTAGGCTTTA